ACTGCATCCCAAAGAATCATTTTAACACGCTCATCTGTCCTATATGTATATTACAGAATTCCGTAACCGAATTTGGAGGCTTGATCAGATTCAGGTTCAATTTCTGGGGAACTGAGGAACAAAACTAGATAGATAATGTTGTATTCTAGACAATCTCTATTTAAGTGATATCAGCAGCTATTAATGTTTAATGCCAATATCTGTTCATTATTCTTTCTTCGCTTCTTAGCCAAAATACTTCTATGAAGATAAGTTTCCTTTCATCCATTATTTGGTCTTCAGTGGTCTAGTTTGTAATACAAACACAACAAAAACAAAGGCAGAAGAGAGCAACTAGTTTTTGAAATAGTGAGTTGGTTCCCTAGCAACATAATCAATTCATTTTCATCCTAGGTTTCATTATGACTTCATGGGTCTAAACTGAAAACCAATCATCTTCCTTTTCTGTTACGATTTAAAAGTTGCTCATGGAAATTTGAGAAATACAGAAAAAGTATATAGGAGCCTGGCAACATAGCAATACCCTATCTCTACAAAAAAAAAAAAGAAAAAATTTTTATTAACTGGGCATGGTGGTGTGTGCCTGTAGTCTCAGCTACTCAGGAGGCTGAGGTGAGAGGATTGGCTTGAACTCAAGAGGTTGAAGCTTCAGTGAGCCATGATAGCACCACTTCACTCTAGCCTGGGTGGCAGACGGAGACCCTGACTCAAAAAAAAAAAAAAAAACAAACAAAGGTGGGGCGCGGTGGCTCACACCTGTAATCCCAGCACTTTGGGAGGCCAAGGCGGGCGGATCACCTGAGGTCGTCAGTTTGAGACCAGCCTGACCAACATGGAGAAACCCCATCTCTACTAAAAATACAAAATGAGCCGGGTGTGATGGCTCATGCCAGTAATCCCAGCTACTAGCGAGGCTGAGGCAAGAGAATCGCTTGAACCCGCGGTGAAGGCGGAGGTTGCAGTGAGCCGAGATCGCACCACTGCACTCCAGCCCTGGGCAACAAGAGCAAAACTTCATCTAATAAAAAAAAAAAAAAAGACCATCACTCATCCTGCCACTTGATGATAACCACCATCAATCATATGGAAATCTTCCTTCTAGGTCATACTTGAATTTTACAAACTTAAGATCATATTGCACACATCCAATTTTATATTTTATTTATTCTCTTATCAATACATTTGCCCTGTGCTTTAAAATCAGCTTACTTCCAACCTCCTCATTTGACCAGGATGGCTCCTCACTTCTGGCAAAGTTTGAAGAAGATCCACTCAGTGGGTAGCTCCGTCAGCTCCTTTGCCTTGCCTCATTGTGAGGGCTAACGAGAAGCTGGCTTGAATGGACATTATTCATAACTGAATAACCTCTCTATGAGGTTCTTTAAGCTATCAGGTTTCATACTTAACGACTGAGGTCTGCCTAAGATGCGTAGATCATGAGCAATGTACCCATCTTTTCAGACTTACTCTAAGTCCCATTCTAGCATATGTGATCTGGCTTAGGCATTCTGCATTCGACTCCATCACCAGAACTGGTTAGGAATGTTCTCGTTGGTCTGAATATGGCCATAATTAGGATGTGCCACACCTCAAAGGGGAAGTGAAAGCCTGGGAGCTCATCAGAGTCCCCAGCAAGATCAATGAATGGTATCTTTATACACGCAAATACAAATGTGTACACATACATATTTACAGTAATGCATTGCTTAATGATAGGGATGCATTCTGAAAAATGCATTGTTAGGCAATTTTGTCATTATGCAAACATCATAGTGTTTTTACACAAACCTAAATGGTATAACCTACTACACACCTAGTCTATATGGTATAGCCACTGTTGTATATCTGGTCCATAATGACGTGGAAACATCATTATGTGGCACATTACTGTTTATTAACAAATGGGATCTCACTACATTAGGCCGGACTTGAACTCCTGGGTTCAAGCGATCCTCCTGCCTCAGCCTCCCAGGTAGCTGGGACTACAGTCATGCACCATCATGCCGCTATTCATTATTTTTATTTGTATTGATTGTTTATAAAGTGATGTCTAAATTTGGGGCTACAACCTACCTTTACAGGACCAAACTTCCAGGTATGTTTTGTAGTATAGATTTTGAAGCATTCTTAAATTGTACTTATCCCCACCACTTGCTTTTGTGTGACTTCACGCATCTACCTACATCCTTTATCCCTGAAAACGGTTGAGTTTTTGAGTTTTAATGTCAGTTTGACATAGTTGGAGTTCATCAGAGCTCAGTTTGGGGTTCTTTTCTCCCCCACTCTTCCTTCTTTTCCTAGCTAGTGACATCCATTCCTCCTAGCTCAAATTTGATCTCAAGATAAAGTATGTCATCATAGCTAACTTTTAAGAGCTTTTTAGGTATCAGGCACTACTTTAAGCATATTGCATGCATTAACTCATTTACTCCTTTAGAGAATCCTATGAGCTGGATACTATTATCTCCATCATTTAAGAAAGAGGAACTGAGAGACAGTAACTTGTCCAAGGTCACACAGTGTGGATAAAGCCCAAATCTGAATCAGGCCACCTGGTGGCAGGGCTCCTACTCTTGGCCAGCCTATCCTAATGCCTATGTAACATGTATGAAACATGATCTCACTTGTATGGTCTCTTAAACTTTACTGATTCTGTGAGCCCCCACAGTAGAGCTACCCATTTGGGGAGACAGGACTGGTGTGATAAAACACTGATGCAGTTCACAAGAAAGCAAGAGAACTGTTTCCCTGTTTCAGAGATAGATGAATTAATGTTAAATGTCTTATCCACATCACTTGTTTCATTCACATTCACAAAGAACTGTCTATTTAAAATAGAAAATACCTCATTACTTACCTTTGATATCTCTATGGACAATCATATTACTATGCAAATAATGGACACCCTCCAGAATCTGACGGGTGTATTTCCTAGTCACATTCTCAGTAAGAGCGCCATATGCTTTTAATTGGTCCTTAATTGAACCCTAGGAGAAAACAACAACAAAAACTACTGTATATGGTTTGAAATGAAAACTGCTATTAAATCTTTATTGGTAAAGAGGGCAGGAATTCTCATCTCACTCCTCTAAGCATGTCCTACTTGAATTTTATTTATTTTGTTCTTATTCTGTTTTTAAAGTATTTTATTGACATCTGCTGATTTTCTCAGGAAAAGGAATGGGTATAACTAGAAAGAACATATATGAGATTTTAAAGTTTTTTCTTTATATAAGAAAAAACTCAACACTCAAGTTCGAAACATGAGAACATACACAAAAGGAGAACTTCAGATTTTCTCAAGTGTTGTTTAGGGCAGGATAAGGTGCCATCTCTGAGAAAGCTGAATCAGCCTGAAGTGAGGCATAGGTATTTGAATTTTGAAAAAGCTTCCCTAGTGATTCCAATGTACAAGTTTGATTAATCATCCCTTTAAAAGACAGAAATAAAATGCTTCCTGAGGGACAAATCTCTTTTTTGATAGGAAAATACATCCGAATGTTTCTGCCTTTCCTTGAATTTTGGTAAACGGTGTACTCTGTCATATGAAAGTAAATCCTTGGATTTTACAGATTTAACCATTTGTCCTTTCCACTGTTTATGAGCCATCCTTGGAGGGAGAGCATTTTGCAATTCTGTGGACCCAAACTTGTAAATCACACATATGGAAAGGAGCAAGGGTGCCCAGTCAACTACTGACACCTACAGTTTAGCATGGCTTGTTTGTTCAGTCTACTGTGTCTCTACCTGTAGGATTATACAGAAGAGGCCAGGCACAGTAGCTTATGCCTATAATCCCAGCACTTTGGGAGGCTGAGGAAGGCAGATCACCTGAGGTCAGGAGTTCAAGACCAGCCTGGCCAACAGGGTGAAACCCCATGTCTATTAAAAATACAAAAATTACACAGGTATCGGCCGGGCATTGTGACTCATGCTTGTAATCCCATCACTTTGGGAGGCTGAGGCAGGTGGATCACCTGAGGTCAGGAGTTCAAGACCAGCCTGGCCAACAGGGTGAAACCCCGTCTCTACTAAAAATACAAAAAATTAGCTGGGCGTGGTGGCGGGTGCCTGTAACCCAGCTACTCAGGAGGCTGAGGCAGGAGAAATGATTTAATTCGGGAGGCAGAGGTTAAAGTGAGTCGAGATCGCACCACTACACTCCAGCCTAGGCAACAAAGCGAGACTCCATCTCAAAAAATAAAAATTATGGCTGGGAGCAGTGGTTCATGCCTGTAATCCCAGCACTTTGGGAGGCTGAAGCAGGTGCATCACCTGAGGTCAGCAGTTTGAAACCAGCCTGGCCAACACGGTGAAACCCCATCTTTACTAAAAATACAAAAATTAGCTGGGTGTGCTGGTGTGCACCTGTAATCCCAGCTACACGGGAGGCTGAGGCAGGAGAATTGCTTGAACTGGGAGGCAGAGGTTGCAGTGAGCTGAGATCATGCCATTGCCCAGCCTGGGCAACAAGAGCGAAACTCCATCTCAAAAATAAATAAATAAAATAAAAATTATGGAAATACATGTATTTTTAAACGAGTAAACATATCAATCACCACCTTGAAAATCATTAATACTAGATGTACTCTATTAAAAAAATAAAATATACATAATGACAGATGTCACAAATCACATTTTATAACTCCTAATGAAATTATAGACTCTAGTGATGACTATCAGTGCTAAAAACATTAGGTGGATGGTTGAAAAGGAACGGGCTATTCATATGTGCCACTGCTATATCTCATATTACTTTCTGGTCTGCAGGAAAAAACAAAACTTTACAGTGCAGGAATCAATATGTCAATCACCCTCATCTAATGATTGGTCTTTGCATTGCTACAGTGGAATAACCAGAATAATCAGAAACTGGCTCCTGATAGGATGCATAGCTTCATCTATGATGTATCAAATTTGAATGTGAATCTAATTTAGACCTTAGATCTAACTTGGAGTTTATAATAAAAAAAGGGATAAAAGGACAAATTAAAATCCACATGCTCATTTCGGCAGCACATACACTAAAATTAGAATGATACAGAGAAGATTAGCACAGCCCCTGCGCAAGGATGACATGGAAATTTGTGAAGCATTCCATATAACTAAAAACATAAAAAATTTAAAACAAAAAAACAAAATCCACAAGAATGCAATTAGAGAAATCCATGAGTTTTTTGGGTTTTTTTTTTGCAAATTCTTCCAGATCCTGAGAGTGAAGACTCTTAATAGGCTATCTTCCTCTCTTTGTCAAATCTGTATCATGTACAAACTGACTGCTCTAGATAGTAATCCTAGCACTTTGGGAGGCCAAGGCAGAAGAATCACTGAGTTTGAAACCAGCCTAGGTAGCAGAGTGAGACCTTGCCTCTCTTTCTTTTTAAGAATTATAAAAAATTGTTTAAAAAGACAGAGATAATTAAGGAGCATAACAATTAAATGTAATGTATCATCCTAGACTGAAACTTGGTGTGAATATATCAGCTATAATGGGCATTTTAGGGCATTTAAGGAAATCTCAAGATAGACTGTTAAGATGTCTGTAACCTACTTTAGAATACTTTAGCATTAATGAGTTAAAAAATACAAAGACAGATGAAGAGGACAGAAAATATAACCCAGCTCTAAATTAAAACGCTTTCAAAATGTCTTTAACTAGGGTTAACATTTTATAATCTACGTTTTTTTGTCTTTCTTTTATTAACTATAATTTTAAATGGAATGTGCATTTTCAAAAAGATGTACTAACTTACCCCTGGCATATATTCCATAAATATGGAAAGCGTTTTCTCCTGGGGATCCCTCAAACAGCCATAATACTGAACAATTCGCTCATGCAGCAAGTTTTTCAGCAACTGAATTTCACATTCAAGTGCGTTTACTTCCTGAAAGAGAGAATTCATTGTTAAGTCTTCAACAATGTCAGTAAAAGCAAAAAATTCTAACTTCATGGACCATTAAGGTGATTTCATTCTGAAAATTTTAGTTCCCAGTAACAAATATCTGAAAGTCTCTAACCAATAACTTTTTAAACAGTCCTTGATGATATGCTAAAGCAACACTGAATCAGATTAATATTATAACCGAAGTACTAAAAAAGAAAAATACATATTAAAAAGTAGATAAATATATCTAATCTGTTTTACAAATAATTTATACTAAAGAAAACTGCACTTTTTTGTAAAAATGCTTCTTATTTAGAATGGAAGGGGCTTAATGTTAAAAGAATAATAATAAATAAAGTTTCTTATAATGTGACAAAGTAAATGTGTGCAGTGATTTTTACCTTGCTGGTCTCAGGACTATCAGGATCAAACTGAACTTGCTTAACAGCCAATTCTCTTCCTGTATCAACATCATAACAGAGGTAGACCCTTCCAAAGGCTCCTTGGCCAAGCAGTTTTCCCAATCTCCAGTTGGTTGGAGCCCGAGGTGCTGAAAAAGAACACTTTCTTAAAGTGAAATATCAAACAGCACACAAATGGTTAATAACTAAATGAACATACTGCATTAGTGACATCCTCCATTGAATGTGCTTGGATATAAGGGAAAATTATGATTATCCAAATTCACATAGGTACCGTCTTTCAAAATTTTCTCTTTCATCCGTTTTCTACAAATCCTAAACCAAAAAAAGATTCATATCCCAAGAGTCATTTTTTTCTGAAATTGTTTTCCTAATGACACGTGACAGCATCTTTCTTTCATTCAATCTAAGATGCCAAAGACTGTAAGATACACCATTTCTAATCTTCACTGCAGTAATATTTGTACTTAGTTTTTCAGCCTCCACCTACAATGTAGAAAGCTGGAAAAAGTATCAATCCCATACAAACAAGAGAAATCCGGGTAATCTACAAAATTTAACTTTTATTGAACACATATCAAAAAGCTAAGATTGCAGGGCAACCAACTAACCTGAAATCGAAGGAAAAAGTGGCATCTCCAAGGAGAGACAGAACAGAAGCACTGACGCACTTATGGCAAAGCACAGAGAAAGACCCACACAAGCAGGGAAGAATTCACCTCCATTTTAAACAAATGTGGGCTGGCATAAGAGTACTGAACCCGGGCCGGGCGCGGTGGCTCAAGCCTGTAATCCCAGCACTTTGGGAGGCCGAGATGGGAGGATCACGAGGTCAGGAGATCAAGACCATCCTGGCTAACACGCTGAAACCCCGTCTCCACTAAAAAATACAAAAAAAAATTAGCCGGGCGAAGTGGTGGGCGCCTGTAGTCCCAGCTACTCGGGAGGCTGAGGCAGGAGAATGGCGTGAATCCAGGAGGCAGAGCTTGCAGTGAGCTGAGATCCGGCCACTGCACTCCTTCTGGGCACGACAGAGCGAGACTCCGTCTCAAAAAAAAAAAAAAAAAAAAAAAAAAAAAAAAAGTATTGGCAGCAGGAGATCCAGACACAGGTGAGCTCACACCTGCTCAAAGTCTTTTCTGTGGAACTCTACCATGCACTCACAGGGGCAGGAGACACCAGGGAAGCCTCCTTGGTAGTCAAGGCTGGAGAAGGGGAATGACCCACTGCTGTCAAAAAAAAAAAAAAAAAAAAAAAAAAAAAAAAAAAGAGTATTGAACGCTTGGGAGATCCAGACACAGGTGAGCTCACACCTGCTCAAAGTCTTTTCTGTGGAACTCTACCATGCACTCACAGGGGCAGGAGACACCAGGGAAAGCCTCCCTTGGTAGTCAAGGCCTGGAGAAGGGGAATGGCCCACTGCTGTGAGAAATGCAGAAAGCCCTTCCACACCCCTCTCCCCTAAGAAACAAGAGCCTTCAGCTGCTGGAGAAAGCAGAAAACCCTGTCACCCCTGCGTTACAGGTAAAGACCTACTAAGACTAGGGAAACGAGAAAGAAAGAAAACAAACAAACAAACTCTACCCCTGACAGAGAAGCTGGAAACCTTCTGTGACCCTGACCATTAGAGCACTCCTACTCCTGGAAGATGGGTAAGCCCATCTCTGAGAACAGAGGAGATAAAGCCTGCCTAAGACTGAAGCTGGATAGGACAACACAGAACCCTCTATTCTGCCTCCCCATCCTAGGCTTGCAAGTAGCAGCAATCCACTACTGAGAGCACAAGGCCATAGAAAGATCCTCGCTCTCTGAGAAGTAGGGACAAAAGGAAGGTCAAGGCCGGGTGCAGTGACCCACACCTGTAATCCCAGCACTTTGGGAGGCCAAAGCAGGCGGATTACCTGAGGTCAGGAGTTCAAGACCAGCCTGGCCAATGTGGCAAAACCCCATTTCTACTATTAAAAAAAAAAAAAAAAAAAGCCAGGTGTGGTGGCGGACACCTGTAATTGCAGCTACTTGGGAGGCTGATGCAGGAGAATCGCTTGAACCCGGGAGGGGGAGGTTGCAGTGAGCCAGTATCGCGCCAGTGCACTCCAACCTGGGCAACTCCATCTTAAAAAAAAAAAAAAAAAAGCTGATGGAGCAGGACGGCTGAGAAAATCCCTTTAGGAAACCAATACAAAGTAATCTGAAGAATTTAAAGTCAGTGGTGCACAGGGACCACGGCAACAACAAAATCCAAACCCATCTCAACTCCTGACTAGACTGACTCAGCTTCTCATAGTTATGGCCTAGCAGAAGAAGAGTTGTGCCTATTTCCAGGCATACATTCTATTCACCTCCTCCTTTATCCTATACATGATATCTGGCATTCACTGTAAAATGATGACACAAAAAAGTAACCCTTCCAAAGAAAATCAAGAGAGAAAGCAATTAATACAACCAGACTCAGAAGGTTCAGACGGGAAATTTAAAATAACTATGACTAACATGTTAAAGGTTCTAATGGAAAAGGTAGACAACAGGCATGAACAGATGGTGAACAGAGCAATGGAAACTACAGGAATGAGTCACATGAAAATGCATGAAATAAAGAACAATGACAGAAATTAAGAATTCCTTCAACAGGATCATAAATAGATGCAACAAGGCTAAGGAAAGAATCAGTGAACCTGAAAATAGATCAATGGGGCCAGAGAGAGGGGGCGGGGAGGGAGAGAGAGAGTGTGTGTGTGGGAGAGGGAGAAAAAACAGAGGTATGAGACAGTATCAAATAGTCTAGTGTACAGGTAATAGGAATCCCAAAAGAAAAAGGAAGAATGAGACAGAAAAAATACTTGGAGAGGTAACAACTGAGAACTTTTCACAAACTATAAATATAATAAACTGAAAGAACACCAGCTGGGAACCCTACACAAATATACCTAGACACATCATATTCACACTGTAGAAAATCAAAGACAAAATCTTGAAAATAGCTGGGACAGCTGCGGGGGAAGAAAGCATATTACATATCGAGGAACAAAGATAAGAATTATAGCAGATTTCTCTTCAGGAAGTATGTACGCCAGAAGACAATGGGACAATAGCTTTAAAGTGCTAGAAAGGCCAGGTGCAGTGGCTCACACTGTAATTCCAGCACTTTGGGAGGTTGTGGCCGGTGCATCAGCTTAAGCCCAAGAGTTCAAGACCAGCCTGGGCAACACAGCAAAACCCTGTCTCCACAAAAAATACAAAAATTATCTGGGCATGGTGGTGCATGCCTGTAGTGCCAGATACTTGAGAGTCTGAGGTGGGAGAATTGCTTGAGCCCAGGAGGCAGAGGTTGCAATGAGTTGAGATTGCACCACGGCCTGAGAGACAGAGTGAGATCCTGTTGCAAAAATGAAGGAGAAATAAAGACTTTTTTCAAACAAACAAAAGCTGAATGAACTTACTACCAGCAAGTCTATTTTACAAGAAAGGTTAAAATGCAGTTTTTCAGGCAGAAGGAATTTGATACCCAATAGATCTCAGATCTGTCTTTGTTTATATAGATTTTGGATCTATACAAAGATCTATAAAAATGAATATACTGAAAATATATATACAAGACATTTTTCTCTTATCTTTAATCACTTCAAAAGATAGCTGTCTAAAGCAAAAATAACAGCAATATAGCATGGGGTCAATATGGATAGAAAAGTAAACTATGACACACTAGCACAAAAAAGGAATTCAGAGTATGTAAATAGTGCTGCAACAAACATCTTCGAGCATGAATCTTTGTATGCACTGATTAGATAATAAGGTCTAAATGC